CCCCTTGAGAGGAGAGCTGCGTTTTCTTCTTTACATCTTCGTAGGTCAGAGATATTGTTTTTCGTTTTTTTTCGTTGGGGGGGGGGGGGTAATTATTTTTAATTAACGCCGCCGTCTTTCATTGCAGTTATATGCGTGTCTCTTACAGAAATGAGGAAATATACGATTTTGAAAGCTCACACAGAACAAGAAGAGAAAACGAACAACAACAAAAAGAGAGAGGTTGCGGTTCTAATGTGTTTTCCCAACACAAGCTTCGAACGATCTTTAATGACGTCCTCGAGCTAAGCATCGCAAAGGCAAATACAGCTGACTACTGTACATCATACGTTTACCATTCCGCCACCACTGGTGACGAAATGCAACATCGTGAGGTCTCAAGAACAGCAAGAAAACAATGATAAAGGTACTGTACATTGGCGTTGCATAGGACCGCGATTTCCGCGACCCCGCCAGATCGCGCATACGTTTGAAAAGCAAAGCAAGGAAAAAAAGAAAATCCACCACCTCCACCAACCGTCTCTTCTGCTTTTAGACGACATCGAAGCACGCATCGTAAGTTTCTTTTTCCTTCTTAGAGATGAAAAAAAGGAGACAAGAAAGAAGAAAAACAAAAGAACATAAATAACCTGCGATGCGGCGAGGGGAAAATCAATAGTAATAGATAGCTGAGGAGAACAAGGGGAAAAAAAGGTAAAGATGAACGCCGCACCACGACAAGAGACACACCGATAAAAAAATAACGGCGAAGTGGGGAAAATGCGGATTTGCCTTTGTGGTCAACAATGAAGAGGAGAAGAGGAAGAACAGCAAAAAGTGCAACAGCACACACACACACAGATTTACTTATACTGCGGGTGAGAGAAAGTGCAGCAAATAAAGAAAAAAAAGCACGTTTGACGAATGGAAACAAACCATAAATGAAAAAAAAGGGAGAGAAGAACGCTCTCACAGACGCTTTCCAGATGCAGACGCGCGTTTCTTAATCTTCGGCAATATAACGTTATCCGCCGGGGAGAGAGGAGAACCGTGGTTAACCGCACCGTTCTCATCAGGGCTATTCGTACGTGGGGGCGGAACTGATGTCGTGATCGTGCCTGACTTTGCCAGCCGTGTCTCCTCCGGCGACGGTGGCGGCGACAACGCACCCGTGGTAATGTTTGGCATGCTGCGACTCTTCCCAGTGCCGTTCTCGGTGTTTTTTGCGGTCGTCTCCAGCACGCTGGCAAAGTTGCGCGGCCGTCCTGGCGGCTTCTCGTTCTTCGGCGCCGTCGGTTTCAGCACCGCCGTGCCGCTGCTGGTGGTCGTCGACGGCGCGCCGCTGTTGTCCGGTGCGTGCGCTCCGCTGGTCAGGTGAGAAGGCGCGGCGGCGGTGACTTCCACAGAAGACGGCGGAGGCGGTGACGACCCATTCGTGGTGGCCGGGTTTGAGTTGGCGGCATCGCCGGACAACGTGCGGGAGCCGCCAGCGCTCGTGCTGCCCGGACGTGAGATGTTGATCGTCAAAGGAGGACTCGCCCGCGCGCCTGCCGACGACGGTGGCGGCGGCGACGCGTTCGCGGCGGATCGGCTTGCGTTTTCGTCCGACAGACCCAGCGAGGCGACGGCGCGCACTGGCGACTGTGACGACATCACGTGCGTCGCCGTCGCCGTCCACTGATCGAGCGTGGAGCGGGCGTTGCGCTTGCGCTGCTTCTCCTCGGCGCTGGCCACGTTCGCGGCAATCGCCGGGTTCATGACGCTGCCGGGCACCACGGTGCCGTCCACGCCGCCTGCCGCCGCCTCCACCTCGTCGACGAAGCGCAACTTGCTGGAGGAGCGGAGCAGCTCGCTGCCAATGGTACTGCTCAGCACCGACACGCTGTCGTTCGGCGAGTGCGACGCCTCCCGACCGAGGCGCCGGCTGGCCTCATCCAGCAGCTGCTCGCGGAAGCGGCGCGCAAAGACCTCCGGAAGGCGCGTGAGGTGCTTGTAGAACAAATAATCCCGCAGGTCCCGCAGGTTGTTCGTGGACCTGTCTTCGGCCTCCTTGGAGGGGCATTTACTAATGATATCGAGGACGGCCAGGAGGCTAGAGTGGAAGACGGTGTTGCGGCGCAAACCACCAAGCTTATTGTACGCCTTCAGCAGGTAGCCAAAGGTGTCGCGCTCCACCGTTAACTGACGGCAGATGGCAGTGGTCTGCGTGGAGGAGAGGGGTTCAGGCGAAGCAGCGTAGGAAGAAAGGGGGTTCTCGTCCTGCTCAGCACTGGGCAACGCCATCTGCGTGATGACAACCTTCAAAAAGCGCACACAGCCGCAGAGGACGTCGAGACCGACCTGGCACCGGCCGCCTATCCCGTCGGTGCAGCACAGTGTATCGCAGGCGCCCTCGATAAAGTGCAGAATGTGCGACTTGGGGTGAAAAACCGTCTTGAGCAGCAGTTCACGATTCGGGCGACTTGCAAGCGCCACCAAGTACTCCAGCACGCGGATTAAGGCCGGGGTAACGCCTTGGGGAAGAGGAAGGACGGGGGAGGTAGACGGACTACCACCACCGTTCGCGCCACCGCCACCGTTGCTGCTGTTGCCGCCACCGCTAGAGCCAGCACTGCCTGCCCCGACCCCGACGCCGGTGTTGGGCACGCCGAGAGTGGTGGTGCTCGTGCTCGATTCACCGCTGTCGTGATGAGCGCTACGCACACCGCCGCTCTGCGCCGCCGCGGCGTTGTCGAAGCGGACAATGGGGGTGTTGCGCGCTGCCACCCCACCGAGAGACGGCGGCAGCGGCACGGGGGGCATGGTGCCACGTGTCGCGTGCGCCAGATACTTGGTGATGATGAAGTTGTGAAATTGGTTGCGCACGTACGTGCTCTCCGCATCCAGCACCCGCTCCGACGCGGCCGACCCTTCGTCGTCGTGCAGCCCGAGCACGTGGAAGAGGGCGAAAGGGTTGGTGGCAGACATGCTGTCCCGCATAATGCGCTTCGGCTGGGGAAGCATACCCCCACCCGACGCCGCGCGAGTTGTACCTGTCGAAGGGGCCGAGCCCGTCGCGGCGCCGTTCACGACGAGCTGACGCACCATGAAGGTAACTAAGCCGTTGTACTTGAGGGGGTCAGCCAGAATAGGGGCGCGGACGTGGTCATTCATCAGCTGCTCCTCCTGCCGCTCGTTGATGCGCACCAGCGTCACGTCCAACAGCGCCGCCAGCTCCTGCTCCACAGCGGGCGAGTAAAAATTCGTACCATTCGATGTCGCGTGACTGTTACCACCGGACGTGACCACGGCGGCCCCGCCCCCTCTGCGGTTGGAACCGAGGCCGCCGTTGTTGTTTTCCGTCAGGCGCTTCACGAAGACAGTCGCCACGTTGGCCGGCATCGCAAAGCGCTCAGCGACGAGGGAGAGAGAGTACAGCAGACCGCATTGGTATACCTTGCCCACAATCGGCCCTACCATCTCACGGCCCAGCTCCGAGATGCTGAGGGTGACCAGTTCGCGGAAGAAGCGCAGATGCGCCAGCACCTGTTGCTCCGCCTTCTGTACCTGTATCACGGCGTCGCCCGCGAGAGATGTTGTCTTCGGCGAGGCGTCGCTGCTTAAGGAGCCATTCGACAAGTTCGCGGACGAGTCAATCGAATTGATGCGACTGAGCGCCATCGCACCCGGGCTATTGTGGACGCTCTTGGTGCTCGCTGTGCCGTTCACCACGGCCGGCGGCGCAATCCGCAGCGCCTCACTCGCCTCGGTGAAGAGGGCGTCGCATGTCAGCAGTCCGCACACGATGTCGTTGCGGATGCGACGGCTCAGCGTGGAGTACTTGGTCATCAGCTCCGTTTTCGTCTCGCCCGAGCAGCAGGTGGGCAGGACAGACTCCTGTAAGAAGGTGATGCGGCGGTCCTTTGCGATGGAGGCCGTGACGTCGGGAGGGACGTGTAGCTCGCGCAGCTGCGCCGGCACCACCCACTCCAACGAGTTCGCGGTGCACTTCAGGCCGGACAGCAGCAGCGGAAAGTTTTGATCAGATATGAGGTGGTCGAGCAGGTCCGCGTTGGCGACACTCAGCATCGCCACGACGGTGTCTTTGTTCTCGTACAAGGCCGGGTTGGACGCGTGATGGTGTTCGATAATGGAGAGCGACAGTGCGTGCTGTTCGATGAAGCCAAGCGGGGGGTCATGGCGCTCATGAATGAAGTACGCGTAGGGCAGGACCGGGCCATCTGCCTTATCGCTGGAGCTTGGGATGGGAGTGACGGAAGATTCGCTGTCCGGCACGGTGAGAACGGTGCGCTCGCTGGCAGGGCAACACCGCTCCAGCAGGTCGTAGCGAAACGGGGGGTAGCTCTTGTCCTGCAGCGCCACCAGCGCACTCCAGGAGGCGGAGTAGCCCTCCTCGGAGGCGTACATGAGACACAGCGAGAGCTGCTTCTCAAAGCTGTTCCACACAATGCAGCAGTTCTCCCCGACAAACGGCGTGTCGTTGCTAATCGTGTCTTCCAAGATGACCGCCTCGTCCTCTTCGTCCTCGTCCAGGTCGGACACGGTTGAGGTGGCAGAGCGCGTTTCGCCGGCGGATGACGTGCCCTTCACGACCTCCTGCGACTTAACAGACGAGGCGGAGCTCTCAGCTTCGGTCGAACCGGAAAGAAACCCATTCGGATTCCCCGACAGTCTCTTGTCCTTCAGGGTGCCCTCCGTGCTCGGCTTCGGCGCCGTGACGCGAATGGTGAAGTCGCAGAAGGATACTCGACCGTCGCCCTGCTCCACCCACTGATTCTCCGCCCCGAGCGCCTGCGTGAGCACCTTGACCTCCAAATTCAAGAGCGACGTGGCAAAAGTTGTGGGGGCTGACAGGCCTACCGACGGCGCCGGGTACGGCACGATTGTCGTTTTGCTGGGCGTCGCGTTCACCGCCGTAGCAGACGCCGCCGCCGGGGATGCAGAGCCTCCATTGCTGCTGCTGCTGCTGCTGCTGCTGCTGCGTGTTTCCGCCGCGGTGCCGCTCCCGTCTCCGATGGTCACGGTCTGCACGGATGTCATGCGCACGACTTCGCCAAAGGCATTCGCCGCCGCACCCGTTGTGGAACTCTTTAGACCGGAGCCTGGCCTGCCATCGCCGCGGCCGTTCGTAGACCTTTTCTTGCTGCCGTTGGCGGCAACGGAGTCGGGCGAGTCGCCGGAGCTGTCGAGCCGCACCTCGTTTGCCGCCGCCTTGCTCCCATTCGACATCTCCGTCGCGGACATTGCGGTCGGACTGTGCTGTTGGTTGATTTTGTTTGGTGAAGCACCGTTGTTAGTGGCGCCAATGCCGGTCGCAACGGTGGATGAGGAAGACGAGGAGGAGGAGGAGGAGGCGTGTGGGTGGTGCGTCATTCGCTGCCTCGCCGTTGTCTGTACTCTACTCACCGTTAAACCGCTTATTGATATAATTATAGACAAGACGACTTTTGAGGAGAAGAAAGAACCTTACAAAGCAATCTTCAACAACCAGGTGAAAACGGGGGAAATGAAAAAATGCAAAAAAAAAAAAGAGTTCGTAGCCGCAGTATCAAAAAAAAACCTACACGCTGCAACCAAGCAGAGAACGAAAACAAAAGTGAAACGGCAAAATACTCGAAGATGAATGAACAGAACACGAAGAAAGATGTGCGTCAGTCGGAGACTGCCAGCAGAGCGCAAACCCGCGTGACTCTAAAAGCGAAAGTGGAAAAAAAAAGGGGGGATTGCGCCACAGAATGCCTGCGCGCTGTCAGTTTCGCCAAGACGCTCTCTCGCCCTCGTTCTTTTTCCTTTTCTTAAAGGAACTCCTTTCACAGTTGACACGTAAAGCGGAGACACAATCGACTGACAAGCGAACCGGAACGTCAACTTACCACAACCTTAAGAAGCTGGAGAGAAGAGTAGCAAATTGCACGGGGAGCAGCGGGAGCTTAACAGGGAGCAAAACACAAAAAGCTCAACCAAAACAAAACGGAATTGTAAGAAGAAAAAGGTTTAGAAGCTGAATCAGCGGCACATATGCATATATCTGAGCAACTGATGCGTGACGAAGGAACTGTGAAGTAAACCAAAAGTAATACAGAGAAACAAATAAAACAAAAGAAAACAAGCACTGAGGCGTGTGTGTATGTGTGTGTGTGTGAGGGAAAGGTAGGAGAATGGAGAAAGAGAAAGAGAAAACAAATCAATAAGGAATGTGGAGACAGTAGATGTGAAGCAAGTAGAAACGGAGAAGAAAACAACATGGAACTTCCCACATTGCGGGGTGTATAGAACCATACTTCCTCAAAAAAAAAAGTGCAGCACTGCAGTTTTTTCTTTTTGAGCAGTACGCTGGGTTTCCTCGCTGCGATAACAGTCAGGAAGACAAATAGTTGTGCTGTGTTCCTCGATGACCGAGAAGGACAGAAGTACAATTTGTATCTTTGTGTCTGATAGCTGCCACACACGTGAGTTGAAGACGCATGTTTCTACCCCTCCAGATAGGCCACACGAGTGAGTGGTGCATCCGTCGTTCGGGTGCATTGTGTTTTCCTTTTCCTCAATTGGTTCTCATTTTTCTTTTTAATTACTGCGCACGCGCAAGCAGCGGCTCAAAAGCTCGAATTGCCTTCGTTGCCACCGCACACGCATAGGGGCAGCCGAGGGAATCAAGCGTCAGCACGAGGGCCACATTGCACGCCGATAAGGCACTTTCTACGTCGTCCTCAGCACCCGTCATGCGAAAACGGTGTCTTCCATCGTCGCGTGTGTTTCCCAGCGGGCTCACGTCCTCTTGCGCCTCCTCTTCCCACACCACGCAGGGGCAATACATGAACTCATTCGTCACGACAAGCGAGAAGCCGTCGATTCGTTGACAGAAGCGTTGTAGTGTAATTCCTTCACTGCTGCACTTTTCGACAGTCTGCGTCGCGGTCGCACCGTGCGTCGGTGCGACAGCGCCAGTTGGTACCCGACAGCGCTCTCGCAACGTGGGCGGTAAGAAGAAACGCAGCGGAATCTCCAAGCAGGAGTCCGACACGCGACAGCGCGAATCACCGCGTCTCCGCACGAGCCCACCAACGTAGCTGACCACCTCTCCCGGTTGGAAAGCTTTGCCGGTGAAGAGGCGACGCGTCATGCACTGCAGACGGCGGCGCATGCTTGCCAGCTGCGGAGAGAAGGCCACGTCATCCGTGTCGGCGGACACTGCTGCAGAGGTGGTGCCGACGGAAGCTGCCCGCCGTAACACGATGAGACGATCCACTTCCTGTGTGGGCGACATCAAAAGAGAAAGAGGAGACTTGGCGAGCGTTGCCTCCACCTCACTCCCGTGCTTTGTGAAGTCGTCTAAACTCTCCTTGACTTCGGCCGCGTCGAGCCGCGTGTGGGTGCTCTGCTGCAGCTGCCGTGGGGAGAGAGAGAATGGTGAAAAAACGTGTGCTGAAAGCGTCGAGTCCTCTGACGCGGGAGCCGATATCAGCGTCACAGCAGGCGTCAAGCCGCGGTTTAGCCTCGCCAAGTCGGCTGGATCGACATCGCCCTGCCGCGCCCATAACTCGCCCCGTATTAACCGATGGCAAGCACCGCCATGACGGCCAACACCGTTCCGTCGACTACGGCTTCGGATCGGGTCCGCTTGCGACGCTTGAAGATGGAATTTGGTGCGAGCCACGGATGGCGCAGAGTCGGCATCGACACGGCTCTTCTTCTCACGTCCAGAGTCACTGTGCTCGGAAAGCTCATCTTCCGTTACGTTGGGGGGCGTCTCTGTCCTCTGCTTTCCGTGCTCCCGCTGCTCTGCAGCGGCGCCCGTTGCATTGTCACGGCCACGCTTCTTTTTCTCTTCGTCCAGACCCGTGTCAACCGTATAGATGAACACGTGCTCCTGTGTGTCGAAGCGGGAGTGCTTCGCCAACACGCTCATGGGCACCGCGGCATCCCACACCTGCCAGGGTAGAAATGGCACGTTCATCGGCCAGTCGGTGTGCTCGCTGCTAAACGGTGGCGAGGAGGATGTGAAAGAAGAAGCCGCAGACGATGGAGAGGAGGGCGGCAACGGCGACGTTGAGGAACACGGAGGTGTTTTCCTATCCTGCGGAGGGGAGCGGGACGTGCGGAGGGGCCCTACTTCTTGCAACAACGCGCGTTGGGTAATTGCGGGACTGCTCAGCAAACTGATCAGCCGTGCCCCGCTCAGCTTTGGTGTCCCGCAGGCGCTGCAGGGCAGTGGCATGTCTGCAACCGACGCCTCGCAAAGCGTCCACATGCCGCACTGCGGGCACTCCCACAGAAGATCGTACGCGACACTCGGCAGAGGAGGCGAAGAAGCCGTGTCAGCCAAAGCGTCAGCAGTCTCGTTCGTGTATGCTGTGTTGCTCTCGGGTGCGACGGCCGCCGTCAAACCACTTACGTTCGTGGAAAGATGAGAACTGGAAGCCGGCGAAGCCGTTGCTCTAACGGTAGAGGAGTCGTCGCTCCGTCTCTTCGCTTCGATCCTTGTGGAAGGGCCTGCGTCCGTGGTGCTCGACAGCCTTGCGGTAACGTCATCACGGTCCCCATCGCGGACGCGCGAACACACGGCCGCCTCCACAGTGCGAAATGCTGGAAAAGGCACTACCCCACCCACGCGTGGCCGCATCATCGGCTCCCCCTGCATCGTCACCCACGGCGTCGCACTTAACCGGTGCGCCTTGCCGTATGACATGAGAATCTCCTCTCCTGCACTGATCTGCCGGCGTGCCACCAACGCCGTGTACGACTCCCCACGGCTGTTAAAGCGGTTTTCAGCAGACAGGTTCGCCTGCAGCGTACCGACGCCACGCGGGTCATTCGCGTAGCGCCCGTAGTTGCCGACGAACTCGGCATCCAGCGCGTAGTCGTCGCCAATCGAGCCGAAGCCCATCGTGTACGTGCGGGAGTTGCACGAGGTGGCAAACACCTCGATAAAACCAGAGTAGGGCGTCACAATGGCGTTGTAGGGGATGGGACTCTTCGCGTACAGGCCGGCCTGGCCGTAGGCGGGGTGGCGCGGATCCGTCACGACGCGCACCTCCAGCAGCTCCTCCGGCGTGTACGTCGCCACCTGAAACGCCGGCACCACGGCGGCATCAACGAGAAGATGGCGGAACACGAAGACTTCCATGAAAAGGACGAGGCGTGTTTCGCGACTGATGGAGGTATCGAAAGCGAGAAAGTGACGCGAGTGGGCGTCGGCGGTGAACTTTACAGCGCGGCGCGACGGTGAGCAGCGCAGCCCACGCAGCACATCGTGCGACGGAGGCGCCGTTGCCGTTGGAGAGGCACCAGCGACTGGTGGAACAGCTGTAGACGAAGTGCTTAGGGAAGGCAGCATGGCAAGAATAATACCTTCGAGGAGAATCTTTTGCAAGCGCCTCCTTCACACTCTCCTTTCTGTTTTTATGAGGGAGACTGGCTCAACGATTATGAACTAGAAGAGCTCCTTCGTGTTTTTTGGGGGGCTGTTCTATGTGCTTCATGCAAGATGCAATGCAGTGCTTTGTTAGTGAGCTGTCGTTGGAGTGAGTGAAGCAACTCGTCCACTGCGTTACGGTGTGGAGACGGATCGCTGCAAACCGTACTATTGGTGTAGATGCAGGAAGGAAACGGATGGAAAGAAAGCGTTGATTGGCGAAGACTGGCAGAGCGAGGATAAAGAAATCCCATAAAACAGAACACTTCACCAACATCAGAAAGAAAAGTAATACCGTCAAGTTAAGAAAGAAGGTGGAAAAAGAAGCACACACACACACGTATGAGACGTGTACTGATCATCTGTCTCTGTTTGTAAAGACCAAAACAAAGCCTCATCTGGAGTGATTCAGGCGTGTCGAGTGTGATCCCTTCGGGTCAGTTGGAATGAATCTACCTTTCTCCCTGCCAATGCATCTACTCTCTCTCCCCCCTTTCTCCCTTTTTACATATTTTTACACATTTCGTGAAGCCTAGCGCTTTCGTTTTGGTCACTTGACAAAGTTTTTTCTTGTTCATACTCCGTCTCACATTCTCCATGTCGGTTTCCAACCTCCCAACGCCGCCGATTTCGACGTCAACTTCCTCGGCCACGTCTGTTGGCGCGACGGCAACGCCAGGGAGTGCAACTCCCGCGGCGACGTCTCCTGCTGCACCTCCATTGGCGGGAGCTCCAGTCACTCGCCCCCCTCCTGCAGCCCCTCTTAGCGAGAGGGCTGCATCCTTTCGTGAAGCGGTGACGCAACTGGAGGAGTTGCGCAACTCGGGTATGCTGGGTGGTGAACAGTACGTCACTTTGGTGGACTCCCTTACCCGCCAGTACCTAAACCCCACCACCCCCACAACTGCTGCTGCAACGACATTTTCCGGTGGCATGGACTCCACACTCTCTTGGGACGTCAGTGTGATGTCGCGGGAGAACTACGTCCGCATGTACCCCTGGGCTCCGGAGTACGTGAAGGCCAAGTTGGGCCTTACTCGTATTGAACAAGAGTACGCAGAGAAAGGGTGCTGGGACCACCTGCGGAACTTGGCGTTGGAGCGCGCGCGACAGAACAGCCTTTGCTCCATCGAGCGCATGCTTTTGTCCATGTTTCTTTGGGACGAGGACGCTAAAAAGTCGGCGTTCTTCCTCGCGCATTATATCCTCACTGTGCCGGAGGGTCTGGCGACCCTGTACCACAACGTACGTGCCCTGGAACTGGTGGAACCCGTGGCGCGGCGGCATCAGGCGGCGACTGTGTGCGACTTCCCGGAAGCCATATGGTAACCGGTTCAGGGCCACGACATGTATACCCTGTTAATGAGGGGCACACCGGCTGAGGCCTTGCACGGGGGATCGGATTGCAACCGTTGCTCGTTGGCCCCGGAAGAGCAGACGCTGACCGGTGGGGCATCCCTTGCGCCCGTACGTGATGGCGAGGGCAACGTAGTGGCCCATGTGGATCTGTCGGACCTCGAGGCCTTCCTTGGAGGACTGCAAGCCTCGGATGCGCAGCGGCACCAGGAGATAGAGTCGAAATTGAAGACTCTCATCTCTACTGCGCGGAACCAGGAGCAGCAGCAACACCAGCAGCAACGCCGCACCAACGCTGGCCGCGCGCGCTCTCGCCGTACCGCGTACTACAGCGGCGGCGCTGCCCCCGACACGGTACCCTCCTCCGCCGTTCGCCCACCAAAAAACGAGGGAGCCCTGCCGCCCCGGTAAAGGGCCGGCGGGGCCACCAGAGGCTCATCCAGCTGCGCCGTTCGGTGAGGTCGTGTGGGGAGGTGACCTCCGCCAAGGGCGCACGTCCAGTGTTGAGCTGGATGACCTGTATCGCCGCTACCTCCCTTCGGGGCAGACGTTCCCGTGTCGCACTTTACCCGACCTTGCGCCACGTGGTGTCCTTGACCCCCTCTCCAACCCCGCTGTCTCTGCCCTCAAGCGGAAGATCGAAGCCCGCCTGATGGCGCACGGCACATTGTATGTCCCCCTCTTTAGCCACCACCACTGGATCGCAGGCATCCTCTCCAGTGCGTCTTGTGATGGAACAGGCGAGGGACTGCTTCTCCGGATCTTCGACTCTGCGCCGTCTTGGGCGGTTCACAGAGATTTGTGGAAGCGGGTCCGTCGCATCTGGCCTGCGATAGAGCTGGAATTTTGCCCTTGCCAGCGTCAGGCACGCGACAGCGACGACTGTGGCATTTTCATGACAGCGAACTTCTTTGCGCATCATTTAGGCATCACCATCGTCCCCGCGGCTGACCTCCCGGCACGCCTGCGGACTTTTCTCTTCGCCGCAGCCCAGAACCACCCGAAAAGAGACGTTTTTCTGCGCAACATCAGCGCGGCTCTCCTCGGGAAGCCTTCCTCCCTCATTCCTGCGCCGCACCAGGCGCCTGCAACCCCACCACCTCCAACGGCCCTGAACAAACTGCAGCCGGCCGCCACGACGGACTCACCGCTTACGGGTGGTGCCGCGGTTGCTTGGGAGGCGACCTACGAGTCGAGCGAGCCCCACGCGCGGGTAAACGGTATGGGCTACATGTTGTCCGCATCTGTATTGGCTTCGGTGGCTGACGGTCAGTATCGCGCGCTTACGATTCCCGCCATCCGTCAGCGCGTCACTCGCGCCGGTTTCCCGCCGGGAGTGCCGCAAAGCGTTCCGTCCGCCCTCGCGAAGCTTGGGCACACTCCTCTTCACTATGGGGTACAGCAGCCAATGGGGTCACCGCGTATTCTTGAGGACGTGGATATCCGCTCCAGACGATATTTTTTCTTGATCCGAGCAATGGAGGATGTCCCGCTTCCGGCCAGCATCGATGAGCACGTCTTCGCGCTCGAGGCTTAGCACCATGCGGATGTCCGCTCACGTACCGAGCAGCCTGGCCACGATATGGTGACGCGTGAGGTCTCCGCGGCATCTGTCGGCTTGTACGTGCTCCGCGCGCCGGTATACACTGGTTTGCCATCTCCTGTGCCGCGACGACGCGTTGATCAGAGGGCCGTTGCTCAGGGTTCCCCGGTGGACGACCCGCATGGGGAAATGGACCGTGCGCTGAACACAGGGCTTTCAGGTCCTTTAAACTGGAACGGCAGGCATCCGGAGGGGTGTGCCTGTCCGCGGGATTGGTTCATCCATCCCGGAAAGCCCCCTCATGTGTCTCAGGTGGCGTGGGCGGCTATGAACCCGCAGGTGCGCATCCAACACCGCACGTGGCTGGAGAACCTGCGCGCGATGCCCCAGGATCTCTTGTCGCTCCCGCTGCACACGGCGGCGGTCGAGCTGGTGCGAAGGATGGGCTGCGCACGCCATTGGAAGTGGTCGACGATGGCGCGACACTACGTATCCATTCAGGTCGCTCTACTCCAGCTGCCCCTCTACACAAACCAGACGCGGCCGGTGGACTTGGCCCGGGAACCGGAGTGGCGCCAAGCTATATCTGGAGCCCGACGTTTCGAGCGCGAGTCGGAGCCACAGCCGCCGGTGCCGTTGTCGGTGGAGGAGTACAAGCGGGTCTTGACTGCAGTCCGCGTCGACCCCGAGTCTCACGCTTTTCTTGTGCTGATGTGGGCCTGCGCTGCGCGGCCTGGCGATGTGACGAACCTCCTCGTCAAGGACATTCATTTTGCAGAAGAGGTAGCACCCCGTTCGGTCCGCATGCAGGTGACGGTGCGTCGGGGAAAAGGTGCCCGGTTCCGCGGGCCGTAGACGATCCCGACAGTTTTGAGCCGCGAGGATGCCAGCGTGGTGCAACGCATCACGGCGAACCGTCCACTCGGGGGCAGAATATTCCCCGACGATATCCCGCTGCGCACCCGAGTGCGAGAGGCCATCCGTGCGGTGAACTCGTCGGCGGCGCTTCCGTCGCTTCGCAAGGGGGCCACCAGGAACCTAGCGGCGCAAGGGGTGCCGGAGGCGATCCTGATGCGGATCACCGGTCACACGCGGTTGGAGACCCCGCAGCGGTACCTCAACGGAGTCATCCGGAAGAGTGAACTCCCCTCCATCACCCGCCTATCGCGCCTGGAGCGCCACCAACGTCTCCGCTTCGCCCGCTACATGTTCCAGCTCGACTTCGAGGCGTTCTACGACGCTCTCCGTCTGCCGGAGATCAGGGACAAGTTCGTTTTTGTCTTGCTGGAGCTACGGACGGAGAATGAAGGGGCAAGAAAAAACAGGCTTTCCTGCCTGTCGTGACCATCTCACGATGCTCTTGCGATTTGGGCGGACGAGCCCATTCCGGAAATTTCATTTCTCTTTTCTTTTTATGGCTGGGAAGCCTCGAACCCCCACGAGATCGAAAACAGGACATTTCGAAATCCATAGGCGAGGCTAAATAACCACCTCGCTGTAAAACCAATAGGATGAAAACAGAAAACGAAAACTCATTTGACTTACTCACGCTGAGGGTCTATTCGTATCGGATTTGAGAAAGCAAAAGGGGCTTGGAAGAAAAGGTTGTGTGTTTTGGGGTGAAGAGTTTGCCTGGATGGAGGGGCAGCGGCAGGTTCGCAACTCGATCAAGACGGTGACCAAGCTGGATTTAGCGGCGCAGAAAGACCAGTTCACCATTCGATCCTTCGCGTCATTGGTGTCACTTATTAGTTACGCG